AAATCTGGGTTGACACGAATGGTTATGTTGGCAGACTAAGACCAGTTCGATCATGTTGCTGTGAGAACTAAACACAATTGAAATTTCTTTTCTTATGTTTATCTGTTGTTCCCTTGAAATTCATTAATGCCATTAGCAATTAACGAAATGATATACAATTGAAGCCAAGCAATTAGATACTCATCAAAAGGTTTTAGAAGAAATTGTGTAAAGCATGTCTTAACAGCGCTATCCCGCGGATTTTGACGAAAGATTGTTTTGTAGCTAGGTTCAATTAAACAATTAAAAGGCAATACAAGGCTAGTTTCTTCGATTCCTTAAATCTAACAAATACTAAATAATTGCTGACCCCAAATTGATAACTGCTATGCTATAGAATTCAGATTTTCGTTGAGTTGGAGATTGGAATGGTAGTTTTTGAGTTGGGAAACTTTGTATACAATACCTCTGATGATGAAATAACCATTTTTTAACATTCTCGGGATAGATGTTAGTGTTGCGTTACTCTCTCCATCCAGGAATGATGATTGGAGTCCATGTTGCATCAAAAAGAAGCCATTGAGTTATGCAGCTGTCATAAGTTGAGATCGATTCCTCAAAACGCAATAGACGAGGTAAACAACTCTAACTCTCTTAACGACCTGTATGATGAGCTTATTTCATGATAATTCTGGCACAAATGTATTATGTGTAACTAATCGCAAGTTGTATAAAGGTGTGAACTAACCTGTGTAGGAAACACTACTTAACTTTTCCCTCTCAACCTCACTGACGAGCAGCTACATAATTTACAGGAATGTCACACAATTTTATGTCATGTATTCGGGGGAACGTAAAAAAAGGACTGGGGCAAAGTGGACTTTTTTCTGACGAGAAGCTGCATTATAAATTAACAGGAATGTCACACAATATACTATGTCACGCATTCAGGGGAACGCAAAGAAGAACTGAGGAGACGTTTAACGGAGACAAGAAGAAAAAATTTTTAAAATAAATAAAGAATTAACTGCTTCAGTTGTCATGATTGAGATGTTTGACATCCAGTTGTGTTTTCCCAATCATCGAGGACTGAGGGAGACTTATTTCCCTCAACAGACCTGAACAATTAGTCAACAATGTTCAAGAAGCAGGGGATCATTTCTAACATGTTTCGCGATGATTTTTAGTTTGATTCAACCATTTTCATATCTGAAGTATTTCGCAAACAGGCAAGACTATCATCGAATTCGGTGTAGCTTGATTGATAGCTTCTAAACCACTGACACTCCGAACCTCGTCAAGATATTGACCAATGCAAATTCACCCTTTATTTAAAATACAAAATTCATAAAATATGTAAAATTACGGCAATGCTATGTCCGCGTGAAAATCGGACCAATAAGTTATCATTGAGATACGAGGGACCAACGCAGCAAGAACAACAGCGCTGTGGAAAAAGTCGTTCAAAAAATGAATTTACATTTTGGGTTAAAATTTCGCAGATCGCTGGATTTGTTTCCTGCTTCTTACGGCGCCACACCTCAACTTCAACATAACAGTTCGTGGTGTTGAGTTGCACTTAAAAAGTTAATTAATTTACCATGGGGTTTCTGTTCTGTTGTAAATGTTTCTTAAATTTAATTAATTTTAATTGTGTAGTAATTAGTAACTTTAGTAATTTAAATAATTGTTCCTGAAAAGCCCCATTGGGGAGTTAACAATAAAGTATGTATGTATGTTCTCAGTCCACGCAAATTCTGGTAGTTTCACGTTGTTGTTTTGCAAAGTTTTAAAACGCACGCGCTGAGCCATTGTTTTGCTCATTAAATGTGTTCTGTTTTGCCACTTCCTCGTTGCCGTCGCCGTCATGGTGCGCTTACAGGACCCCATGGTCATATAGTCGAGAAACAAGAAACTTTCGATTTTGTCCTGACATTGAATATAGACCAAATTACAATTGGCTTACATGTTAGATGTGCATTCATTGAAATATGAAGCACACGGGAAATTTGGAAAACGTAACAGATGCTTAAAAGTTCCTCAGTGCGTGTCAGGAAATTCCCTCTGCCACGCAATGTACACGCATACGCATACGTCATTAACGTTTGCACCTGCCTAGATGATAGTGAAGTACGTGAAGTACAATTTCTCTTAGTTTTCAATTCATATATTTATATGGTTTGAAGAAATTTTGACAAATTTGACTCATTCACTCTCCCAGGTTCGTAACACGTCTTTTTTAGGGGTGATCAGTAGCTATGAACCACTTCCTATAAAGCAAAGTCTTTATATATCCATGTTATGAAAATCGGTCAAAAAAATCATGTTATGAAAATCGTCAACCTCAACGACCTCAATATTATTTTTATTTCAAATTAACTGAGGCAAACGTAAAAATTTATATGGAACATTTTTGCAATATAGCTACTTCTTCCTTTCAAATGGGTTTACTTCAATTCAAGGGCATGCGAGATTTCTTGATAAATTAATCATTAATCGGTAGACACGATCCCCTGCCAAATGTAAAGACACGAAATCTTCTTTTTAGCCAGTATCAGGAGCCCACAATGGGTTCCTGCCTCTATTTATTCATTTTTTATATTCATCACTATAAGATTTGGTGAGTGGAACATATTTGGAAACATGATATTCGATATAGTCGACGGTTTGGGTTGTTTTAATGAAGTTAGCACCTGCTTGATTTACATTACAACAGAACAGATAGGTTTTGTTGAAAAAATTAATTCAGTATGTCAAAATTCAAAGATGAGATATTCAAGTATCAGAAACAGTTTTTGTAGATTTTTTTATGAAATAGAGGGAAGAAACTTTTAAACATTCATAACAAGGAGCAAAAACATGATAATTAATAAACCTGAAATGTTTGCTATAATTTAATTAAAAATTTTACGTTGTGATGAATCCATATCAGTTTGGAGATATTACCCTCTCAGTGGGACGTCAGGGTTAGGTATTATTTATTATGTACACACATTTTTGGGTCAGTTCATTCCATGTTCCTTCGAACGAAATTATGGGCAGATCCGCGTAAAGACAAAAAAATTGTTTCCTTTACCAAGTGTGTAATCATTTTCAAGTTTTTTTTTTCCTGGAATTAGACAACTTCCCCATGCTAATCTATTTGAAGAAAAGTACCCCATAATTTACTAGTCTTCGTGATCGGCGTCAAAAGAACCATTTGTTTTATAAATTTACAGCTATGTCTACCGATGGCCATCGCATATTGAATTCTTTAAGCGTAAGTACACCTGTCCAACTGCTTCTTTCTGATCACCGTATTTACTACAACGAGTTGGATTTTAACCCGACAAAATCGTGTCACTGTCATTAATTTTCGGGGCAGTTTAAGCCTGAAACAAGAGGTCTTTCGTCAACTTTTTCTCTTTGCATTTGGTTGGAGAAGCCCGCGCTTGAAATATCTCTATCAGTTAATTCACAGTTAATCGTGGTGCCGTAGTTATACGAGCATTGAGCAGTGTAGCTAATATCTAAACGTCTAGATTCAAGAGCTTGAACAAAATTGAATTTCATCTTCACAGTTTCAGTCATCAAATATTCCATTACTCTTAAACAATGACTATGTTAATTTCCTCTTAGAAAGTAGCTGACTGCATTTCTTTAGAAAAATTTCTCTTTATATTCTTAACATCTGAAGAGGTCTAAAGTATTAAATATGTAGTTTCTGACTTTCAAATGCAGGTGATGATACAAACAGGGATATTGATTTTGCTGATAGGAGTCTCCAATGTAACAGCAGGTGTGTACAAA